GAACTATGAAAACCAGCTATGGAATATGGGATAATAGGAAAAACGTGGATCCTAAACTAGGTCAATGATCCAGGTCTTGGCTCATCCTGTCCATTAATTTAATCCAGTGAAATTAAGCATGGCCAAATCACCTGTTCTGGGTCTCAGTTTCCTCGTCTGAAAATAAAATAGTCAATTTAGAAAATTTGAAAAGTCATTGCCAGCTCTAGAATTCTAAAATACACTGTGATAATTTATAATTTAAGCCACTGGGCCTTTCAAGAAAAAATAAGACTGAAAAAACCAGAGCATGCTTTATTTCCATACTTCTTTCAATGCTCCATACTTTTTCAATTCATTATTTCCACATGCCCTCATATTTTCATGCAGGATATTTTTATTTTCAAAGAAGAAATGTTTTATTACCAATGAGACCAGTACAACACAAAATTCTTCAACACTGTAAAGGCTTACTTTCAACCAATTAGAAACATATGTTTGGTTTACATGCATCATATCCCTGATTTTAGGTTAAATATATTTTGTTGAAGGAAAGGAGAAAGGTGATCCAGTGTTCTCAATCTAATCTCAACCATTAAATAATATAAAGTGGGCTGTCTCAGTCAGATCTTAATCACTGGAAAGGTGGCTGTTATGGTTTGGATGTTTGTCTTCCCAAACCTCATGTTGAAGTTTGATCCCAATGTTGGACGTGAGGCCTAATGGGAGGTGTTTGGGTCATGAGGGTGGATCGCTCCTGAATCGATTAGTGCCCTCAGTCTGGGTGAGTAAATTCTCACTTTATGAGTTCTCTGGAGACGTGGCTGTTAAAAAGAGCCTGGCACCACCCTCCTTGTTTCCTCTCTGCCCATGTGATCTTTGCACAGCTGGCTCCCCTTTGCCTTCTGCCATGAGTGGAAGCAACCTGAGACTCACCTTACCAGAAGCCAAGCAGATGCTGAGCTATGAGCTAAATAAACCTTTTTTCTTTATAAACTACCCAGCCCTCAGATATTCCTTTATAGCAACACAAAATGGACTACGACAGTGGCTAATCTGATGTGGTAACATTAGGTTTAGGACTCTTCATCGCTTATTCTCCTCCCTCACAAAATTAAGGGGTGATTCTCCCCGAGCCATTTGAAGATACACTTCTCAGTTCTTTTTTCTTCATTATAACATAAAGGATGCAACATATTTTAAAAGCAAATAGCATTAGACTTCCTATGAAAACCTCTCTAGTTTGAGACATGGGACAGAGTTTAGAGAACAGTGACAATCATCTCTGTCTATAAATATTCTCTGTAATAAGAACAGAACAAAATATGGTGACAGGTTAAGTCCGACCTGAAAAACTCTGGTACTCAGGAAGACCAAGTCTGGAGATAAACTCAAAGTTTCAGCAGGAATGGCAGTACACCAAGAGATGAAGGAACCTAGTCTGATTCACAGTAGATGCTTAAAACATATTCATTGGGCCGGGCGTGGTGGCTCACGCCCATAAT